GCGTCCCTGGCAGTGTTCAAGGCCAGGTTGGATGAGGCTTTGGGCAGCCTGGTCTAGTGGAGGGTGTCCCTGCTCGTGGCAGGGGGGTTGGAACTAGATGATCTTTAAGGTCCCTTCCAACCCAAACCATTCTATGATTCTATGAAATGGAACATACCAACTGTATTTGACTAATAGGGACACCGTGTGGTTTGCACGCTGCTTACGTTTGCCATTGTCTGTCCTCTTGCCCTTTGGAACAAGAAGGGCTCAAAGTATAGTCTAACGTGTCTTCACTTCTGATCTGAGCTCTCTCATCTTGGTGGGGGATCATTATGTGAGGGAGAGTGTTAACAGTTGAGCGTTGTTGAAGAACTCTAAGCACCTGCATGCTCGCTTACCAGTACTGAGATGGAACTGAAATGTGCTGTGACTTTTTGAACGATTCTCACATTTTGTAAGAAATTAAATAGCAAACCTGTTATTGATTTCTAGATGTAGTGACACTAGCGATCATCTAGTCTGTATTAATTGTTACACTTCCCAGCCAAGCTCAAACAGATAAAGCAAATATATTCTACTTGTATATATAATACCAGCATATTCTAGTACTTCTCCTGTAGTTTGGTAATTTAAATGCGATTGGATTAGGTGTATTTGCAACTATGGTTGCCTTGACATCAATTCTAGCTGTAGTTCATAAAAAATTCTGCTTAGAAGATGATCCCTGACAAACAAGCTTGGAAAATCTGGATATAAGGTTAGTCTCAGGAACAGAAAGCCTCTCTTCCAAAAGAGGTATGCCTTGCCTTTCAAAGCTGAAGTAATATAGGCATTTGTGTACTTTGGTGGAGGGTGAGAAACTTAATTTTTACGTACAGTGCTTGAAAGTCTGGATGTGAATTTCTGCCATACCACCTCATGGTATAGATCAGACATGCAAGAAAACGACTAAAGTTTCAACTGGAATAAGAGCCCTTAGCTTGGGTGTCTTAAGTGCCTCAGTATCTTAAGTGGAAAAGGCAGGATGATGGGGGAAGAGATTATTATCCATGTTTCAGAGAAGAGGAGAATTAAGATGCAGGAGAATTAACTTGGCCTAGGTCACTCAGTAAATCTGTAGCTGAGCTGGGAATCAAACCTACATCCCCTGGCATCCAGTGCAGGGGTTTTAGCTAAGTTTTAGCTTTAAGACTACTTGAAATAGTAAAGATCCCTTTAAAAAAGGGGATAAAGCTACAGTTTAGTTAATTTTAAATATTGTTTTTAAATATTATTGGTAAACATTTAAAATGAAAGTTATAGCTGACATGTAAAATTGATCTCTCTGGAGGCTGAGAGAAAAATAAAAGTAGATTAGACATTCAGCAGTGAATTTTCCATAGAGTAGTCAAGAATTAGGAAATATTTTAGGACATTAGAAATGTTAACTCTATTTTTAGATTCCTTTATTGATAACCGTGGGGTTTTTTTTCCTTCCATATTAATGCATAGGGTAGGGATTACAACTAATTAAATCTTTTCAGGAGTTTTTTCCTTCAGTTCATGAATCCTGTCAGGCATGACAGTATAAAATATGGATTATAAATATCTTAACCTGGACAATACTTAGGTTATACTGCCCAAAAGCAAGTGAGCTGCTTAACTTGTGTGTCAGTCCAACCTTGCAAACTTGAATACTGGTATGACAAAACAAGGCAAGATGAGTTGTAGCAGTGTAGTTGGGTAAAGGCTTGGCTTAGTTAAGTTTCAAAATTGTGATTCCAGTTGCTACTATAGGTAAGTATTGTGAAAGAGGCAAATCTTTACAAGAAGGTTTAAATAGGTAAGGCACATTTGACGAGACTTCTGCACGGCAGCAAGATTGAACAGTATTTAAAATATTGCGTGCCTTAATCTGTGTCTGATCAGACCTGCTGGGAGTGTCACTGAAATGAGATGTACTTGTCAACTGCACCCTTAAATAACGTACGTGCGCACAAAACTTTGTCATGAGCGGAGGAGGCAGGCTGCCTGATGCTGGGGACCAAAGCCTTCCTGCTGGAACGAGCCACTAGAGGTGCACCTTGGAGGGAGTCATTGGAAAACAGCTCTGGGAGGTGTTGCGAAGCAGGGTCAGGGCTGGGCTCCATCCCTGGGATGATGGAGACTCTGTAGTCCCTCCCTGCACGCTTCCCTCAACGGACAGATGTTCTGGTCGTGCAGCAGCCTCTGTACCGGCAGAGCCTTGCTGCCGCTTACGTGCGGTAATGGGGACGTGCATTGGAGCTGATGGAAAACCACCGGCAATTTCCGATCTACGGTGTGATCTGCAGCCTAGGTACCTGACCTCAGAGCACACTGCTTTGTACACTGAGTATCTTTCAAAAAAACTTTAAGCTTTGGCAAGTAGATGGTTTTGATGGGTAGCAACTTTCCTGAGCTTGCTTATTAATGAATGTTCTTGTATTGAAATTAGAATTGAGAAATTTAAAAGTAACTGCTGTAGCATGTTTTCTGCTTCTACTGGGACTAGACAAAATGGAGTTATCAAGCCAAGAAAGTTAGATTATTCCTTCCTGCACCTTTAATTTTCCTTTACCGTTTTGTCGCAAGATTTGGCACAGGCCAGGCAGTGCATAGGATTAAAATCTTGTTAACATTGATAAATTGATATGCCAGCCATATACATCTTTTTTTTCACATCTCACAAAGTCTTAAGTTTCTTAGAAGGCTTACAGTGTTCCTGTTACTCTTTAGAGGTGCTAACAAAAAGCTACGAAGCAAGTCATCATTTTGAAAGGTGTATTGTCACCATAGAAGAAAGCAGTTGTCAAAGCTTGTGTCAGTCCAGAACTATTGATGAGAGGGAGGGTATTGTTGTTATGCTGCAGACTTGAGGCTCAAGTACACTTTAGCTGACTGGACACTAACACGGGTATTAACAGTTAACTTGATCTTTGAATGGACCATGTAAACTAGTCCAGCAAACTCTCTTAGGCTGCTCTAGTTGGGATGTAGTCTGCTCTTGACATATAGCCCTGGACAGTATCTGAAGAAAAATCTTCTGGTTAGATTTTTGTAACATTTGCTTAGCTTTACAAAGTAAACCTTTTATAACACAGTAACTGAAGCGTAGTAAAAGACTACTGTTGATGTATTTTGTAGGTCCTGCCTAATAAATCTTAGTGAAACAGGGCATTGAAATGCCTGTGTATCAGAATACCAGATACTTCTGTGGGAATGAGTCTTGTTTTCTGCTATACAGAGCTCCTCTTAAGGAGGAACTTAGCATCCATGTGTTCGCACCTCACTCGCGCATGCCTTAAATAGGGAGCCCCTCTTCTCCCCCCTCCCTCTGTGTCCCTGGGGAGTCAGAAGCCATCAGATTTGAAGCACTGGTGACAGATGCAAACCCGGAGAGCGCAAAGTATGGGATGATGGCACTGCTGGCACAGGGCAGCCAAGAGCCCCTCTTGGGGGGCAGTGAGGACAAGGCAAGCCAGAGAACTCCGTTCAGACTGACCTTGCCTGTCTTTTAGTACCCAAAGGGGCATAATTCATTGTTAAAACATTCGAAAGATGAGACTTCTAGGCATGACTTGAAAATGAGGTTGTACCCTCTTTGCTGTGGTGGAATATAGAAAAAGTTTTTAAATAACAGTTATTTCATTTTAGTAGTGTCTAGTGCAGTCTGTTGTTCAAGGTTTTGCTGCTTCCTGTCCTCTTAGAAGGTGATTTATCTAGACAGTAGAGATACTGAAGACCTCTCTACTTCTCTGTGCAGGACAGTGTGGATGAGTTTAAGTTTCTGAATGAGCTAAGTTTGCAGTTACTCTGTGCTGTTTGTTATGAGTTATCTGACTTGTTATGATC